CTCATACTTCTAGCACACTCTAAGATAGTGCGATTCATACGCTCCGCCACTCCGTTGTGCTGAGGTGTGCCTAGAACGGTCTTCAGTCTCCTAATCCCATAAGATGAACAGAAGTTCTCGAACTCTTGGCTGCAATGCTCACGTCCATTATCAGACTTTAGACACTTTAGCTTATTGCCTGTTTCATTCTCCACACAGACAAGCCACTTCTTAAAGATGATGAAAACATTTGCCTTGTTCTTCAAGAAGAACATCCACAATTTTCTAGTAGCATCAACAATGAAAGAGACAAAGTAAAAATAGTTATCAACAGATGGGACTTGCGCAGGTCCCCACACGTCGGTGTGCATCAACTCTAATTCATGTAGTTTTGGAGCCGGCCTGGTCTTGTTGACGCTCACTTTCTTCTGTTTGCCTAGGATGCAGTCCTCACAGAAAGTCATATCGATCTTGCTCAGACCTGGAAGTCTCTCTCCCATGTCCATAATATGCATCCCCTTCTCACTCATGTGGCCAAGTCACCGATGCCAAGTTATGCAATTGACGGATGATGATGATGGTTATCCTGCGGCAAGCAAGCGGTCGATCTTCCTATTGACGATGTTGAGAGACCCCTCACGTTTGCCATATGCTACCACCAGGGCACCCTTGGACACCTTCCAGCTTCCATACTCGAAGGATACTTTGTAACTGGAGTCAATCAGTTGTCCAACTGATATAAGATTGTACCTGAGATCTGGTACATGCCGAACATCATTTAGTGTCAAGGTGGTCCCGCCCTCCGTCTTGAGGGTACAATTTCTCTTTCCGAAGACCTTGTAAGGTTGATCATCGCTAAGATATATTGTCCTCAAGTCCTTCTTCACGAATGATGAAAGCAGCTTTTATTGTGAGGTTGTATGGAAAGATGCGCCAGAGTCGATGACCCACGCATTGCTCTTGTCTTCAAGAGATAGGAGAAGTACATCCAAATCCATCTCGTGCATAAGATTGGCTGCACCGTCAGCCTGATCATCCCCTGCAGATGCTAGAACAGAAGATCTGCAATCCCGTGCAAAATGACCCTTCTTTCCACATCTGAAGCACTTCCCTTTAACGTAACCATTCGGGTCCGACCCTTTCGACTTCCTTCTGGTCTTTATTCGGCATCGTCATCTCCTGCCCTTCTTCTATGTATGCCCTCGTGCCTTAACATGCGGAGCACTCCTACTGCTAGAGGTCTCAGCTCCTGAGACTTTGCGGCTAGATTCTTCATCCATAATTACCCCAATCACCGTATCGAGCTTCATCTTATCATTTCCATTAGCGTTGCTCACTGCCATCACCATATTCTCCCATAAATCTAGTAGACAAGAAAGTAACAGAAGAGCTTGGATCTTATTGTCAAACTTGAGATTCACTGCTATAAGCTGTTGAACCACAGCCTGAAATTCGTTTAAGAAGTCCGCTACGCGAGCTCCTTGCTGCATATTTAGATTGAATAGCTTCTTCATCAAGTACACTTTATTTGAGGAAGACGACTTCTCATACAGCGCTTCCAAGGCCTTCATCAACTCCTTGGTGGTGGTCGCATGCGAGATGTTGTAAGTCACATGCTGGTGAATATTGAGCCTGATGGTGGCAAGTGCTTTATGATCGAGCACCTTCCACTTATCGTCGTCCATCTTCTCAAGGTTTCACTGCCTCTCCTTGGAGGTGTAGGAAAAGATCCTTCTAGTACAAATAGTCTTTTATCTGCATCCTCCAATACTTAAAACTTTTACCGCCGAACTTCTCAATCCGAACCTTGTTATCTTCAACTATAGATCCCATGGTGAAAGATTCCATTTTTCCGAACCGTATGCTCTGATACCACTTGTTAGGGCACACGCCAACAAGAACGCCTCAAACGGAGACGCAAAACACACCTAAACGTTCTTGGAATCACATAATAAAACCAGGAAATACGAATTCAATCACAGTACTCATAGATATAACGTGGTTCACTCTTACGAAACTACTCCACGGTACAACAACAATGCTCAATTCCTTTATATTCCTTTCGAGGTTACAAAGGAAAAAGATAAAAGAGAACACCCTCTCTTGATCAAGATACTCTCTAAGAATTCTCACAAACTCTCTCTCAAGATCTCTCAATGATATTACTTATATCTGTATCTTTCTCTTTCTCTCTCTGCTACTGAGATGCTTTACAAATCAAACTTATGGGGGTATTTTTAAATTTTCCACACATATGCTCGTGTGCGCGCACACACACATATATATACACACGTGTGTGTGTATATATATGTGTGTGTACATAGATATTATATATATATGTATGTATGTATGCATATATATGTGTGTGCATGTGTGTCATCCTCATATATGTATATATGTGTGTGTATAGCTTCCTCATATACGTTGCACCCTCATGAAAATTGCGTCAACATACACAATCATACAAACCATATTTGGAAAACATAACATAACCAAATCCAGTTTCATAAATTCCAAATTATAAAAAAAGCATGCAAGTTTCACAAAACCCATCATCCCTAATACAATCAATATCAACTGAATTTGATCACAAAACAAAACCAAATCACAACAATGAGAACAAACACAATACATATGCTGGATGCTAAACTTTCCTTCTACTTTAATTGTTCATATTTTTCCGTTAAATAAGCCTCCATTTCTCTTAACTTCTTTCTTTTCTCTACTCCTTATGCAGTCTTCGTAATCTTCTGCTCTCTAAGCTTAAGTTCCTGCCTTTTCACTGTCAATTTTTCTTCAATTATCCTTACCCTTTGATTATCCCTTATCCAGTGCTCATCTCTTTCTCACCTACAAGCTTCTTAATGACTGACAAATTGAGCTTACTTAGGAAAGAGTTCACTTTCCATTTCAAGAATCTACATTTTGATGGAGTTCGATAATTTGGGCAACAAAGAATCATCAACCGTCGTTCTCCTTAGTTGAAGTAGTTTTTAATGACAAAAGTTTCTCCACAATAGCACATTTGTCTCCTCAACTCCATCATAACTTGAACAAGCATTTGTAGCTATAGAGGATGACTTCATGCTTGCCTGCAACAAATTGGGAAAGAATAACATCGATTTTGTTGAGTTAGGTTCTTTTGGGGAAGGCCAACAACGAAATTGGGTATTTAGGGTTCAAATTAAAATGAAAAAAATTTAAATAGAGAAAAGGTTAGGTAAGATCAGTAAATACTGCAAACACTATTGTTAAGTTCTACTCGAAAACCACATGTGACAAGAATACTCTTTAGAATATTCCAACGTTCTGTTAATAGAAGGTCGTAACGTGCTACTTTGGAAAAACTTCATGGTATTTTTTCTATTGGAAAATACAATTTATGGTATTTTTGTGCTATACAGGGGAAACTTTGAGGTATTTTTCGGATGTTCACCTATAAATCAAGTTTCTTTGTTTGCTAGTAGTTAAAGAGAAACATTATACAATATGGAGATACTGATAATGTTCATGCAACATGAACACATCATAATTTTGCAGTAGTACATTATTGTATTTTGATTTGAAAACCTTGCACGTTACGAACTAAAGTTATAAAATAATCTATCCATGTTATTTAAAAAAAACCATACTTTTGGTTCTATTCCTATACTATCCCTTTATGTGTCAAGATTTAAAAATACTTAACATATATTCTCAATAATTTATTGTACATTGATTGAAACTAATAAAAAGGACAATATTGAAAATCTCTGAAAACACTCTAACTACCATCCACTACTTGATAACCCTCCACTCCCCATATTTTTTAATAATAAGATACTTTGTATCATTATTGGCAATAATTTTCTAAAGGACAAATTTTCAAAATAGACTCTATTAGGAATTATTTTTAAAAACAACCCCTTTAAGATTTAATTGCCATTTTCGACCAAGTTTCAACCACCTGGTTGAAACTGGGTCAAAATGGCAATTAAAGTTCGAAAACTTCAGGGGTTTTAAAAATTCGTGAAGTTTAGTGTCTAATCAGCGACACTAAAATCCTGTGAAGTCTGGGTGGTTTTTTTCAGTAAAGTCGCTAATCAGACACTAAACTTCACGGGATTTTAAATCCTGTGAAGTTTTCGAACTTTAATTGCCATTTTCGACCCAGTTTTAGCCAAGTGGTTGAAACTAGGTCAAAAATGGCAATTAACTTTCAAAGGGGTATTTTTTTTAAAATAAATTTCTAATAGGATCTATTTTGAAAAATTGCCCTTTTCTGAAACTCTATTTATATTATTTTTGATTAATATATATTTTATTAAAATTACACATCAGTTTACGGTATAGTGAACATAGCATGTGCACATAGGGCTGGGCGTGGGCCAGGTCAACCCACGGGCTGACCCGACCCAGCCCGCTATGGGTCATGACCCGGTTCGATCGTAGTGGGCTGGTAGTCTAGCTGTTCTTTTAGCCATTTGGGTTTGCTGCTAGCTGCCAACAAATCTAAAAGGCCATAGTTTTTTTGACTTGTGGACCTTTTAGCCCATTGAGAAACATAGCAGCGATCTTTAAGCTCGTTGTTATCTACTTAGAAAGATTAAAAATGTTTAATACAAGTTTAAAAATACTTTAATACAAGTTTAGATTACTAAAAAATAAATTAAAAATAATTTTATAATTGTAAATACAAATTTTATATAATTAAAAAGATAAAAATAAGAAAAAAAAAACTTGGACGAAAAACCCATGAGCCAGTCCACGACCATGAGCCATGGGTCAGGTCAGACTCGGCCCACACCTAGGCGGGTCGTGGGCCGGGATGAGTCCTGTCCCAGACCCGAGATCAGAGAAATATACCCGACCCATTCTGATCCGGCTGGATTTGAATAGACCCGGCCCGGCTTTGAACCCGGAGGGCCGGGTCACGGGCCTGAACCGGCCCCTACCCACGCCCACGGCTCACCCCTATCTGCACAAGAGAACTAGTACTTTTATGAATTAAAATAAATCTCAATCCCTAATGGCAAAACAAATCTCAATCCTCACAGGGATAGACGCTCAGATCACACCATTGGTAACACGAATGTTAAAATACGCTTCAGTGCTGTCGTCGTTTCATAAACAAGCCGATGGCTTTTTCGTCACAGAAAATGCGCATATACCAACAAGCAAGAGATATGATGATGAGAAAAAGAGTGGCGTGAAATAGAGAGGGAATTAAAAGAGGGCGAAAAAAAGTTAAAAAAGCAAGAAATTCGAGAAATGGGTTTCGATTTAGGATCTTCAAGCTTACTCTCATCATCCTCATCTTCATCTCTCTTGCTCTGTTCTCATCGAAACTTAACAAGAAAGAAGAGGAGCTCGGTGCCCATCGTTTCTCTTCGCAATGCAAAAACCCAAGAAGAGAGCAATTCCTCTCAGAGGAGATCTTTTATCTTTATGGGCATCTCGGTTCTTCCATTGTTGCAGCTGAAAGCAACGGCGGCTGAAGATTTAGACACAGGTGAGTTCACTGACTCAGTGGCTTGTTGAATCTCGTAATTTGTGGGTTTAAATTTGTACCTTTTTCGAGTTTAGGGTTTGTTTTTATGGAACAGATCATTAGCAAATTTGGATGTTTTAATGTAGCAACAGAAAGTACATATTTAGTGAAAGAATAGTGAATACTATTGCATTTTTCATGAATTTTCTTGACACGAGCTTAACTTACTGTTATTGTTGCTTACTCTGCACCCTTGAAATGTAGTGTTAATATACTTGTAAAATGCATGTTCAGATCATTGCTAAAGTGATTCATATGGTTCTTCTTCTTCTGCAAAAAAGAAGGCTAAATATCAGAAAAGCCCCCTTAAATTTGGACGATTATCAGATAACATACCATGACTTTCAAAATATAAAAAAACCCCATAAAGTTTTAAGGGTTATCAGAAAACGCCCTTTAACATTAATATTTTTATAAAACCACCCTAAAAGCGTGAACCACAATTTTCACCGGAAAAGAGAGCCCCTTGCGTAGTTTTATCCACCCATGTGGAAAACTGCGGTTAAAGCGGTTAGGGGGTTTTCAGATAAAATCTTAACATTAAAGGTTTTTTTTTTCTGATAACCCCAAAACTTAACGTTTTTTTTGATATTTTAGAATTTAAAGGGGTTATCTGATAATCGTCCAAAGTTTTAGGTGGTGGTGGTGGTGGGGTTTCTTCTAGTATGTAGATACAAAAAATTAGGCTAAATTTCAAGAAAACCCCTGAACAATGGGTGAATTGCACAAAATCCCCCTAACTTGGGAAATTAGAGAAAACCCCCTAAATCATAGAAGGTACAACCGAATCTGCCCCCAAGGGCAGTGAATTGCACAAAATCCCCCTAACTCAGGAAAGTAAAGAAAACCTCCTAAGGGCCCGTTTGGATAGTGGAAATATTGGAAGTAAGAAGTAGGTTACAGAAGTAAATTTCAAAAGTATGAAATAGGAAGTAGCGGAAGTAGCATTTTTTTGTTTGTTTCATATATTTTTAGAAGTAATGGAAGTAGAACTTCTTCCTATTCATTTACTTTTTTTGTTTGGATAATATTTGAAAACATTACTAGAAACTAATTAATACATGTTGGTTCCATTTTATTCTTTTTTGGATTGTCATTGAAATAGAAATAAAATTGTTGTTGGGTTCAAATTGAGCGTTCCTATTGAAACCTCATGACATTGCAAATATACTTAATATTACAGATACTGTTTACTAAACATATTCCTGAAAATTGAATTAGTCATTTGAGGAAAATCTCTTATTAAATTTAACCAAATCGGTGAACATTAAGAAACTGGTCAAAAATAACGATTTTCTTAAACTTGATTTGATCAACGTGATTGTGTATGACACATTGACATGTTGGGTTGATTTGATGTGTCACCTTTATCAAATTCAAAATGGCAATTAACTTTCAAAGGGGTATTTTTTTTAAAATAAATTTCTAATAGGATCTATTTTGAAAAATTGCCCTTTTCTGAAACTCTATTTATATTATTTTTGATTAATATATATTTTATTAAAATTACACATCAGTTTACGGTATAGTGAACATAGCATGTGCACATAGGGCTGGGCGTGGGCCAGGTCAACCCACGGGCTGACCCGACCCAGCCCGCTATGGGTCATGACCCGGTTCGATCGTAGTCCACCCCGACCCATGATATATTTTTGGTTAGTCTAGCTGTTCTTTTAGCCATTTGGGTTTGCTGCTAGCTGCCAACAAATCTAAAAGGCCATAGTTTTTTTGACTTGTGGACCTTTTAGCCCATTGAGAAACATAGCAGCGATCTTTAAGCTCGTTGTTATCTACTTAGAAAGATTAAAAATGTTTAATACAAGTTTAAAAATACTTTAATACAAGTTTAGATTACTAAAAAATAAATTAAAAATAATTTTATAATTGTAAATACAAATTTTATATAATTAAAAAGATAAAAATAAGAAAAAAAAAACTTGGACGAAAAACCCATGAGCCAGTCCACGACCATGAGCCATGGGTCAGGTCAGACTCGGCCCACACCTAGGCGGGTCGTGGGCCGGGATGAGTCCTGTCCCAGACCCGAGATCAGAGAAATATACCCGACCCATTCTGATCCGGCTGGATTTGAATAGACCCGGCCCGGCTTTGAACCCGGAGGGCCGGGTCACGGGCCTGAACCGGCCCCTACCCACGCCCACGGCTCACCCCTATCTGCACAAGAGAACTAGTACTTTTATGAATTAAAATAAATCTCAATCCCTAATGGCAAAACAAATCTCAATCCTCACAGGGATAGACGCTCAGATCACACCATTGGTAACACGAATGTTAAAATACGCTTCAGTGCTGTCGTCGTTTCATAAACAAGCCGATGGCTTTTTCGTCACAGAAAATGCGCATATACCAACAAGCAAGAGATATGATGATGAGAAAAAGAGTGGCGTGAAATAGAGAGGGAATTAAAAGAGGGCGAAAAAAAGTTAAAAAAGCAAGAAATTCGAGAAATGGGTTTCGATTTAGGATCTTCAAGCTTACTCTCATCATCCTCATCTTCATCTCTCTTGCTCTGTTCTCATCGAAACTTAACAAGAAAGAAGAGGAGCTCGGTGCCCATCGTTTCTCTTCGCAATGCAAAAACCCAAGAAGAGAGCAATTCCTCTCAGAGGAGATCTTTTATCTTTATGGGCATCTCGGTTCTTCCATTGTTGCAGCTGAAAGCAACGGCGGCTGAAGATTTAGACACAGGTGAGTTCACTGACTCAGTGGCTTGTTGAATCTCGTAATTTGTGGGTTTAAATTTGTACCTTTTTCGAGTTTAGGGTTTGTTTTTATGGAACAGATCATTAGCAAATTTGGATGTTTTAATGTAGCAACAGAAAGTACATATTTAGTGAAAGAATAGTGAATACTATTGCATTTTTCATGAATTTTCTTGACACGAGCTTAACTTACTGTTATTGTTGCTTACTCTGCACCCTTGAAATGTAGTGTTAATATACTTGTAAAATGCATGTTCAGATCATTGCTAAAGTGATTCATATGGTTCTTCTTCTTCTGCAAAAAAGAAGGCTAAATATCAGAAAAGCCCCCTTAAATTTGGACGATTATCAGATAACATACCATGACTTTCAAAATATAAAAAAACCCCATAAAGTTTTAAGGGTTATCAGAAAACGCCCTTTAACATTAATATTTTTATAAAACCACCCTAAAAGCGTGAACCACAATTTTCACCGGAAAAGAGAGCCCCTTGCGTAGTTTTATCCACCCATGTGGAAAACTGCGGTTAAAGCGGTTAGGGGGTTTTCAGATAAAATCTTAACATTAAAGGTTTTTTTTTTCTGATAACCCCAAAACTTAACGTTTTTTTTGATATTTTAGAATTTAAAGGGGTTATCTGATAATCGTCCAAAGTTTTAGGTGGTGGTGGTGGTGGGGTTTCTTCTAGTATGTAGATACAAAAAATTAGGCTAAATTTCAAGAAAACCCCTGAACAATGGGTGAATTGCACAAAATCCCCCTAACTTGGGAAATTAGAGAAAACCCCCTAAATCATAGAAGGTACAACCGAATCTGCCCCCAAGGGCAGTGAATTGCACAAAATCCCCCTAACTCAGGAAAGTAAAGAAAACCTCCTAAGGGCCCGTTTGGATAGTGGAAATATTGGAAGTAAGAAGTAGGTTACAGAAGTAAATTTCAAAAGTATGAAATAGGAAGTAGCGGAAGTAGCATTTTTTTGTTTGTTTCATATATTTTTAGAAGTAATGGAAGTAGAACTTCTTCCTATTCATTTACTTTTTTTGTTTGGATAATATTTGAAAACATTACTAGAAACTAATTAATACATGTTGGTTCCATTTTATTCTTTTTTGGATTGTCATTGAAATAGAAATAAAATTGTTGTTGGGTTCAAATTGAGCGTTCCTATTGAAACCTCATGACATTGCAAATATACTTAATATTACAGATACTGTTTACTAAACATATTCCTGAAAATTGAATTAGTCATTTGAGGAAAATCTCTTATTAAATTTAACCAAATCGGTGAACATTAAGAAACTGGTCAAAAATAACGATTTTCTTAAACTTGATTTGATCAACGTGATTGTGTATGACACATTGACATGTTGGGTTGATTTGATGTGTCACCTTTATCAAATTCCTTGCATCAAATTATGACTGAGTTTAGCTTGAATTTATTTTAAAATTTTAATTTTTTTTTACTTTTTGTTTAGCTGATTAATTATAGAGGTTGGCCTTGTAATTCAGCAATGGCCTTGTATTTAGGTTTTGTTTGAGGAGGTAATAGATTTAGAATTTGGAGATTTTGGGGGTGATGGTCACAGGAAATTTCAAGCATATTTTAAGATAATGAGGGTTTTTCGTCCCGTGCATAAATTGTCCATCGTGAATTACCTGCACGTATATACCTTCGGTTGTAAAACCCTGTTCATTGTCTGAGTTATAATTTAATATCATTTAAGATCATCTAATTTAGGTGGACCCCACTTTTTATCCACTTCCCCACTACTTCTGAGCTTTCAAGGGCGAAAAAAATGTAGGAAGTAGGAGTGCCACCTAAACGCCACATCTGCATTTATGGAAGTAGCTGAAGTAGTCTTTTTGGAGAAACAAACATAATTTTTTGCTTGAAATAGGAGAAACTTCATCTACTTTAGTTACTTCTTTGCTACTTCCGTGCAAACAAACATGCCCTAAATCATAAAAGGTACAACCGAATCTGCCCCTAAGGGCAGTTGGAACTTCCCGAAAATTCAGGGATTTGTGAAACTCCCCAAAGTTTTTGTTATTTTATTTATTTATTAATTATTTTTTGTGGTGTTTTTTTTTTGTGTGTGTGTGTGTGTGTGGGGGGGGGGGGGGGACTTGACCTGTTTTATGAAATTTCCCCAAAAATTTTAGGAGGTGCTTTATGCCTCATCGGCCATTCATATATAAAAAGGAAGAAGGTAAAGAAGATTTCTATACTCCACACGACAAACTCCAAAACTATTATTGTACATTTACTAACCATCTCCATGTTATGATTACTGAGTCAGTATGCTTTTTAACTTACACTTTTATTGGCTTAATTTAGCATAATAAAAACTTCAAATAGTGATAGGAATTTCTTCTTTCGCACCTAAGCTTTGAGGTACAAAGAGATATATTATCAGTCCACATTATTTGAGTTCTTTCTTTCTCATCCTTGATAAATAGCTGACATATAACAGCTTCCTGTTTTCATCTGTTCCTGTTGCTTGTTCTCTGTTCGTCCTACACGTGCAAAACTGACTTCTTTCTGATTACTTCTCCAACAGCATCTACATTAGTATCCCAAGCAAGTGGACTTGCAACCGTATTTTTATCTCCACGAAATCGTACCAGGGATCTAAAACTTAAAACTTCTGAACTTCCCAGCAATTCAACATCAAAAGGTATTGTTTTGGGCTATACGTCACTGATGAAAGCTTGTAACAATAGAATGAAGGTTTTGTTAGGAGGGTATTCCTTGTACAATGTTGATGAATAGATTCAACACTTATTACTTGATACAAAAACTAATTACTTCTGCAAGTTCTATCCGCTACACAGTTTGTCATATTAATTTCAGAATCTATTCTTTAAATATACTGGAGTGCTCTATTAGATAATATTCATGCATCTGAGTGCCTAACTAAAATACCTATATCCCACCACTTAGAGGGGAAATGAAGAATATGATTGTTATTTATTTTTAGGTTATTAGATGCTTAATGGTTTGAACAAATTAAATCTGTTTGCTGTTATGGTTGTTTGGTTCAGCAAAAACTGTTTAGCACGATACACAGCACATGTCAAGACAAAATCAACCCAAGCAGGACAAGAATCCTCTCACATAACATGAAATCAGAAACAATTCATTGTCATTGATGGATTGGCAAAGGAGGTGTACTCTTACCCATGCGATGTACTAGGCATCTCTTACCTCAACCTCAGCTCCTTAGTTAATAAGCATCACATGCTTTTTCCATTTAGTAGAGGAAGAAGTGTGAAACCTCTGTTATGATAAACTATTTTTTGCACTCAAGGAAAAACCATTATTTCTCATGTTTATCCTGCAAGTATATGTCCTGTTACACTCGTTCCTTTGCGTGCATCATCTGACTGAGTATTCTACTTGTACTTGTGCAATTGGTTCATATCCTCTACTCGTTCTAATCCTATCTCTTGTATTTCTTTCCATTCTGCATTTCAGTATGCTCATAATGTTTTTTGGAACATATTTATGCTCTTGGATGTAAAATTTCTTGCTAGAAACTTATATCGGGCCTCCTGCACACTGTGGACTTTTATTTGAACAATGGGTGATCGACGTCTCAAAGTTGGAAAAAATTGTCTGATTTTAATGTTATTAACTTATAATGCTTCCATTTAGTTTCTAATGGATGCATCATCCTTTTACATGCCTGTCATAAGCCACTTTGTAGGTGTTTCTGTGTTTTACTTTCTTTTCTCCCTCTTCTAATGCCTTCAAATTACCAGTATGCGACCAAATGACATACCGTCAAGAGTATGGTTTCATCTGCAGTGATGTCTATCCACTAATTTCCAATATTCCATGCTAGAAAAAATATATTTCTTTACCAAATTACTTTCTTTCCTCTGTCTCTAATGAGTCGAGAAGCTTATACACATAATTTTAAAAGTGGAGTATAAGCTTGAGATTGTACATTCTTTTAAATGAATCACTTTACTAGTATATCTATAATTTTGCATCACCCAAATGATCATTATCTGTCAAGCTTACTTTTAAGTACCTTGCTTTGTTTCTGAGACCTAAACGCAAAGGTGTCACTTTGAAAAAGGCATTATTACTGTGAGCATCTTTTTCCAGGCCTTGTCATTCTGTTTATCATTTTTTCAAATGATTTCAGACAAGAAAGACATAAGAGAGCGAGAGGAACAAGAACCTGAATTCATAATATCAGAGAAGAAAGATATAGGGAAGCAAGAGATTCAAGGAGCTGAACTAACAAAGCAGGGAACGTCATTCACAGAGGCTATCCAAGCTGAGGTTGTTTAATAATCTTCCTTGATTTTCATTTTGAAATTGACCAAATGATTAAATCATTAAATGTTACTGCTCACTGTCTTTTGAAATGCTAAACTACACATTGTTCACTTACAGCATGTACCTACGCAAGAAGCTCGGGGGAATACATTTGTCTCTCTCTTCAACGTGTTTGGAATAATTGCAGCCGGTGTGCTCGGTGCATTATATGCAACATCTCAGAAGGAAAAGACAGCTATGGAGTCAACTATCGAATCTGTAAACCATCTTGAAACCTGTGATACGTTTCCCCCCTTATCTTGATTTCTGTGGGCATCTGAATATATTGATTACTTATTATAGGTTATACTTAACGTATGGCACAGGCGACTTCCCCCTGCGCATTTGTGGTTATTGTTTTTGGATATGAGAAACTTACATGACTGACCTTCTAGTAAAATTAACTGTCTCAAAAGGTCGATCCCGTTGCATTATCACTTTCTAAAATCTGTTTCTGTACCTGAGCATTGTATTCCAGAAAAAGGTGAGTTTAGCTTGATGTACATTTTTAATCCCAAAAATGGCTAGTTAAACTTTTATATTCCGAAGGCACAGGTTTTAACGGAACATGAATTCAAACTTCACAGCATGTAATTTAACATATTTATTTATTTATTTATTTATCCCCATTTATTCTGTCTTTCTGGGCGAATTCACTTGGTTACCTTTCAACATGGTCCTAAGGCCAATACCAAGGAGAGTATTGAGTTGTAAAGTTTAATTTAGCTTTAATAACATTAGTCCCATTGTTTTAAATATCCCCAACATGGTCCGATATTAGCTGATATATCCTTTTGCAAGGCTTGCTGCAAACCGATATGGTCCAAAGATCCTTTACCGCTTTTTGGCAAGTTGGACGATATATTTCCGACATGGCCGATATATCGGCCGATATATGTTGGCCAATATGTCCTTTTATATGGCTTGTTGCTAAATAATATACTGCTTCGGTAATTTTTGGGCATTATATCATGATTTTCCCAATATATCAAGTAGCATTTCAGCCCAACCAAACATTGCAATGTCGATTTGGACTTTTATTTATTTTAAGAGGTTGATTTGTGATCCTAAACATATATTCTTGATGTTTTTGTTTGCTTAGATTTCATTAAGTATGTTTAGTCCATTTTATGACATTATATTATATATGCACATCATTTGATGTAGCACTTTGATATTTATCATATCCTTGATATTTCTCCGCTATCTGCAACCCGATATGAATTTTGATCGTTCGATATTTCTCCGATATTTGATATTTAAAACCTTGGTTAGTCTACAAGGCAACACCTTAAGCTTTTGAACAAAAGGTCTTCCTGATGAGAATGAAGCAGAAGTCTTACCAATATATAAGGAACAAAAAACTCTTTTTTGACCACTTCGAAAATTTTCAGTGCATATCGATATCCTTTACTGCTTTTGTCAATTTTTGGTGAGATATATTGTGATGTTCCTAACATATAAGGTTATATTTTGGCCTAAAAAAGGCAAATGTTGCAGGCTTTTTATTTGTTTTAAAAGCCTGATTTGGATTTATGGTTCAATTGAGGTCTAAAGCCAAGCAAATATTTGCTCATATACATATATGAAAAGAAGAATTAGGGCTCAATTGAGTGCGTAATCTTTGGCAAAAGTTATGGGGCAAAAACCCACCTTTCTCACATCTCCATTCTTTGGTGTACCAAGTATGAACATCTATGATATACATATGCATATCATTTGATATAGCATTCTAATATTTACTACATGTTCTAGATATCCACAATCGGATTAGGATTTTGGCTGTCCAATATTTCTCAGACATCCGATATTTAAAACCTTCCATACATCATTAGGTAATGAATCCTTAGGAACTCAAACTTAGACTTCCAAATTTTGTCATTTTATTAGTATGTGAGCTTTAATTCTGTTTAGTACGTAGCATGAGGACATGGTTTTAACAAATCACTTAGAGTTGTTGAGTTCTCACGTGATCTAGTTGGTGTGTCGATGAAATTTTCAAAGAGTACATGTTCATGCCTGAGGGTGATTTCATGGGATTAACTGAGTAGCACCATGTTGATTTGACAATACTTCTAGAGTATATTGTGAGGGGAAATCAAGGAAAATAGTTCTGTTTCAACATTTTCTTTTGAGATCATAAGCTGGAAGCACATTTCTGTCATCGAGAAATGCTTGTGTGCAATATCTGTTGTATGGCATTAGAATTCTCTGCTAGTTAATAATGTAAAGGAGATGCAATAAAATTCAAAATGAAACAAGTGGAAAAAATATGTTATTGTTTTGCAATATAGTATGTGTGTGTGTGCGCGTGTGTATCTTTATGCAGAATTATACAATCACTGTTTCCTTGGAAGTTGCATTATTAGGGCTTTCTCTTTGATGTAATTGCAGATAAAGGTGAAGCTATCTGAAAAGGATGCAGCGGCAGCTTTGCTGAAAGAGAATTTAGAGAAAAGATTATTGAAGGAACGGAAGAAACAAGGAAAAAAATTAGAGGAGGAGGCAGCTTCTTTATCTAGTCAAATAAGCTCCGCAAAAGGGATAATAGCAGCCTTAGGTCAGGAAGTACAAACTGGGAAAAATTTGATTCAAGAGCTTGAATCACAAATATGCCAACTGGATAGTGCTATTGTACGAGCTGGAGAAGATAAAAATCAGCTTGAAGCCAAACTTAGAGAAAAGACTGATACAAATGATGTCCTACAAGATAAAATCAGCCTTCTTACGTTAGAGGTAAATGACAAGGAGAAGAACATTGAACACCTCAAATCCTTGCTTGCTGAAAAAGACTCAGAATTGAAGAACTTGGGCTCCATCATCGATCAAACTAGAACAGACCTTTCAGAAGCAAACTCCAGCATGGAATTGTTGAAACAGGATCTTATGGGAACTAGAGAAGAGCTTCATTCAAAGGAAGCTTCAATTGATTGCCTAAATGCAGAAATTGAATTGCTGAATGTAGAAAAGGATGATGCAATTAAAAAGTTTCGTAACCTTTCAAAAGAATATGATGCGTTGAAGTCCTCTAGTGAACAAAGAAGAACCCTTGATTGTGAACTCTTGTCCAAGAAAGATGATGAACTTCATAATTTAGAAGAAAAGCTTGGTCTTGCATTGAGTAAAGTTAGCAATAACGAGAAAACTATTTCTGTGTTAACAAGGGAAAGGGATGATCTGAAAGTATTGGTGGAAAGAGAAGCAGACAGCATTAAGAAATTGAGACATGAGCTTCAGACTACCAAAGAAGCATTGGAAGCATCGAAATTTGACGCTTCAAATCTGGGAAAAGAATTAAAGGATGCCAAAAAGTCGTATGAGGAATTGATGTCTGAAGGCTTAAGGCTTCAGGATGAGCTGCAGAAAGCAAACAAAGTATTAAATAGTAACCTGGAAGAGGCTAAATCTACTTCAAAAGAACTTTCAAACGAGCTTTTCTCAATCAAGGATGTCCTTAAGAAAACAGAAGAAGAACTTGGTGCTGCAAACACTGAGCTGAAAGCTGTGATGAAAGACAGAGATGGATTAAAAAGGGAATTGGTGGAGATCTACTCAAAATTGGAAACGGTAACAGAAGAACTGAAAGAAGAAAGGACAGTAGTTGGCACTTTGAACAGAGAATTGGAGGTGTTGGGAAAACAAATGTTAAAAGATTCAGAAGCACGGAGAGCTCTTGAAACAGATTTGGATGAGGCTACCAAATCACTAGATGAGATGAACAAGAGCGCGTTATTGCTCTCAGAGGAACTTGAAAAAGCTAATTCCAGAAATGCCAGTCTTGAAGCAGAGGAAGAGATGCTTTTACAATCTGTTATTGAGCAAAAGAATATTGCAAAAGAAGCACAGGAAAACATTGAGGATGCCCAAAATCTCATAGCGAGGCTTGGAAATGAGAGAGAGAATTTGGAGAAGAGAACTAAAAAGCTAGAAGAGGAATTGGTTTCAGCAAAGGGAGAAATATTGCGATTGAGGAGACAGATTAACATGAGCAAGGAATCTGTAGATGAGAAGCATCCAAAACCCAATGATGTTGCAGCTGGCACTCCTTTTACTGTGAAAAAGACGGTAACTAGGAGAAGAAGGAGAAGCTCATCTCCTGAAACTTAATGATAGCAGTCAAAGATCACAAAATGAGAATCCATTATTGTTGCGTACAGTTCTTCCTGAGCTAAATAGCCATTTTTATTGTATCAGAAAATGTGAATGTGTTCTTGTTGCCTACGGTTGTTTTCGAATTAGTTCACCATTCTTGTGGCATGAACCTGCACAGTACAAGGATGCAAAAATTTCAGATTTACTTTTTGCATTATATGGATGTGAATCGAGTTATATAGATATACTTTATGCCCATTTTGTGCTTTTGTTTTCTATTTTGCAGCGTCGATTTTAGTTAGGGCAGCAAACATTATGGGCCAAGGTGATTGACATAATTAGCAGTGCTTTGTTAAAGCTTTAATGGTAAAAGGACATGTCATTACTAGATCAGTTTCCTGCTTAAAAAGTTGAAATGTCTGTCAAATTAAGTAATTCTTGGCTTTTGGCTTTTCTTTTTAAGTTGTGAGTTCCTATTGAGTTGATGACATATTGCATGCTTACTTCTTAACTTTGCAGGTTCTTACTTCGCTTCTATTAAATGCCAAATGCATGTTTCTATGCTTCGTATATGTTCTGGGAATATTTTTCTATCTGTTGTACACTGTAATAAGACTGGAAATGGGTAATTCATGGCCTGGGTGATGTGAAGACAAAAGGTGAGTATCCGAGAACAAGTTTTTTTTAATGTAAACTTACTGTGGTGCTTTTACCATCAAGGCGATATATCTAATGCTACAACCATGTCCTTTTAATTCATGATATTTTTTCGCTATGCATTTTATGCATCTAGTTTACTTTGTGACTGATACTGAGCATTTGCTTTTATCTTCCTACAAATAAGAATGTTTCGTTTTTACCAGTCAGGTTGAAAACAAGCGCACTTAACTCAATATTAGCTTTGTGGTAAGATCTATAATCTTGGAGTACACAAGCATCAAATGAAACAACCAAGAGATACAAATTTCCTACACATAAGGGTTAAGACTCGGTCATTAGTCTACTGACGTCCTTTTCTATATTGTGTTTTATTAGTTCAAATTTGGCACTGTTCTTTTTTTGGCAATCTAACCTGTCTGGTAGAATAAAATTCAAAGTTTCAAACAAAGAGAGCAAGGACTGGTAAAATGCTACTATGCAAAGGTGGGATTCTACATCCTGAAGCTATTTTAAAAACTTGGACAGAACATTAAGGATTAACAAATTGGTAGAACCTCTCGCTTCATATCTCTACAAACTTGTAATCGTATATGATTTTACAAGGTCTGCCAAGTAGCCAATTTTCCGATCTTAATACGTTATAGGACTAAATTAACCTAAGTTGTATGGAAACATGTATGAGACATGTCAAATTTGTAAAAGGGGACATGACTATGTAAATATTTATATACATATACAAATATTACATATTCAAATTAATAATTTACATGAGATCAATATTGTTTCTTGTTCATATGTTATGAGAATTAAAAGTCCTACAATAATTTTACATTTCTTATATATGTGGATTATAATTTGGAAAAGCATCAATTTTTAACTAGTTACCCAAATGAACCTTTAAAATAAAATTTGGAAAGCCATCAATATATGCAAGGAGTGTCCGAGGAGTTTGGGTATGATACGTGTACATGTACGTGTCAGGTACCAGTACGACTTCAGTGAGGAGTGTCCTGATGCTATTTTAATAACTTGGACAAAACATCAAGGATTAAATTGATAGAATCTCTCGCTTCATATCTCTACAAACTTGTCATCATAGAAGATTTTACAAGGTCTGCCAAATAGCCGTTTTACAGATTTTAATACGTTATAGGACTGAATAAGCCGAGGTTGCATGGAAATGGGGACGGTGCATGACAAATTTGTAAAAGATAGGGTACGAGGACACGACTATGTGAATTTTTATATACACGTATATAATGAAATTAATAATTTACATGTGATCAATATTGTTTTTCGTTCACATGTTATGAGAATCAAAATTCCTATAATATTTTTATATTTCTTTTATTGTGTGGATTATAATTTGAAAAACCATTAATATATGCAGGAGTGTCCGAGGAGTTTGGGTACGATATGGGCACATGTACGTTTCAGGTACTAGTACAATTTCAGTTAGGAGTACACAAGTAACATGGGAATCAGCAGTAGCAAACTTAGCTTCTTCAGAAAAGACTGGAGAAATTTTGAGTTCAAATCGAATCTTTAGATCAATCTATATGACTGATTGCAGATGCACAAACTTGTACTTTTTATCTTAGGTTTGCAAGATGAAATGAGATTTTCAAACTTGTATGTTTTTTCCTTCTCTTTTTAATTTTTTGAATAAAGGAGTAACCGTTTGCAATGGTAATGCTGCTACATTATCACCTGAAGGTTATTAATTCAATCTAGGGCGACAACCTCTCAGTGAGAGGATAAGGCTGTCTACAGTAACTAATAATACTTACCTGCAGTATTTGCGGCTTTCTGTTCACAATATAAATCTCGTAATTGAAGAGTAAATGGTGCTGTTTATGTCATTTTCTGGACCACAGGATGTCTTAAGGTCTAGATGAAGTTAATATTACACATTTATAACTTACTGGAAGGATAATGAGCTGAAAATTAAAAATATTTTTATTATGCTTCTTGTGATTGTCAATATTGACTTTGTTTTTGTTCTCTATACAAATATTCACACTGCTTTTGGGATCGTACCTCATCATTCATCATTGCTAGCTTTTAGTTCTTTGCCTTTTTTATCTTTAATAACTCAAGCTTGAGTTTTTCGAACAATGAAAATCTTGACGCATAATGGCTTCTTGATATGCAAGTGTGAGAGGCTGAAACAAAACAAGCCTATCAAAACCTCGTATTGTTGGAAGAACATACTCTAGTTAAGATCAAATCCTTAGATATTTCAGTTTGTTTCGACAGTTCTAGTTTAGTTAGGATTACAAACCTTAGCTCTATCTCAAATTGTGTTCCTTGGGCGTATATATATACATCAATATTTATATTAGATTAGTAGATTAATGGGATCAGAAAACTCTATGAAGTTTTTGTATGTGAAGTGCTTGATGAGTCATGAAACTAAACCCTAAACCTCCTCCTCGTTGTTGCTCTTTAGTTAGGGAGACAAGTCAGGAATCAAGGGCACTATATTAAAGGAACCTCTTCATGTTAGCATGTTATTTGTTTGAATGCCGAAAAAATGTTAGTGTAAAGCATCTTCTGAAAATAAAAAAATATTTCTATAATGCACCTGCACTGCGAGGAATCATACAAGGGACCTTAACATCGTGCAAGATTTCTGTAGAAGTCTGTCTTCTCATACAAGCGTACATGTGGCTTACTGTTGAATATACTGGAGGTATCTGGGTTTTTAGGAGAGCTTGAAATTTTTTGCCTCCGACAAACAAGCTACATGGAATAATATCAAAATTATCACTCCACATGTCAGGTATCACTGGAGGTATGGTCCTTTTGAATTTTTATTCCAACTATCTTTTTTGAAACTATGCACATGCATTTTTCATTCAATCACAATTTTGCACTGCAATAATGGCCACAGAGTCGAAGAGGAATCGGTAAAATTTCAGAAAGCAAATGATGTGGTTATATGAAATAGGAACCTGAAGATATACAGGAATCTGCCACTTGTTATTCTACTTTTTGAGGGTTCTTCTTGGAGGAATCAGAATAAGCAGCCAAGGGATAGCTTCATTTTAAGGCAGAGTTCTGATTTCTCAGCTTTGTCTTTCTTCCAGAATGTGAAACCTGATTTAAAAAACTGTTATCTAATTGTTCATCCTCCCAGCTCCCACTAAGTGGAATCAATCATGACGAGTTCAACTTAGATTCAGTGATCAAGATCTTTTAATTTATTTCAGATCCATTCTGGTATCTGGCATTGCCCCTTTTTTCACGGTATCTCAACTCTCAAGCGGTCTTTTACTGTCATCTGAGTCTATACTGGTATTCACAATGTCAGCAATTTATATTCTTCAAATGGCCATGTAAGCTTATCAAAGTAGCTCCTTTCGAATGACATTCCTGTGAGGTTGATGCATATATATTCCACCCTTAAGGCGCATATTAGAGCCGTGGTCATGGATGCTCACTTGAGAACATAAATTCTGCTATCAACAGCTGTGAGGCTGGGCTTCTCCATCAATTTAGCAACCAAAATAAGTGGATCTTCTCATATATGAAGGCTGAATGATATCAAATCTTTTTTTTTGTGCTTTTAAAAGTTATATATGTGTATGTATGTTTGTATGTAAGCATTTGCTTATTTATTATATGTGTATGTATTTGTATTTCTTGTATTCTCGTGTAATATTGGCACTTTGGTATATCATAGCAGCCTCTTCATCAAAACAAAGAAATTTCATTTATGTTTTTTCTATTTGACATTTGTAGTTTACAACTGGTCAAACTTTTGCTTGAGGCACTTCAGTGTATATTCGGAGTCTCAATTAAGTATACATGAACGGTACATGCAGGTACTAGCCAGGTGATAATCTGGCGAAGACTGGCACATTGTTGTTTGTATCTACATTTTCATTCACCTCAATACTTTGAGGAAATAAAGGAAAAAAGAAGTAAAGAACTACTATATAGCCAAACTCTATTTATGTGCCTTTTGTCATAGTTTTTCATCTTCTTTCTTGACCTTTTTTTTCAGAAATAAGTTCTATGTTTCTTTTCTGGGAATATTTATTTGAATTCATTGACCTATAGTTACAGGTCCAGAGAGGAAATGAACAAGACTTAAGATTGATAGCTGTCCAGTGCATTGATAAACAGGAGCATTGAAAGGGTAAAAATCTAACCAATGTCAACTACTTCTTCCGAGAACATCCATTTAAAGTTCTACCTATACTTTCTTCAAAATCTCTTCTTAGAAGAGCTCGACATTCAATAATATATAGCACGCACAAGTTTGTTATTGCTTGGAATAGATACAAAGCATCCATTTCTCAAGTGACAGTTACTATTACTATACTTGATTTCTTAATAGCTATATGCTGATTTCCTTTCCTTGGGTTAGTACTGCTTCACTTTTGATTAACCCTGGCTCTTGAACCCCGAAGACATTGCTAAAACTGCTTCTTCAACGCTCATATAAATGCAGTCTGATCTGAATAGATCCCAGGCTTCTGATCTGTAGAGCTTCTCTGTGACATCTCCAACAGGGTTCGCTAGTACAAGCTTCAAAATTTATGAGAGGGAAATTAGATTTACAATTCTGTTTATTTATTGCTTTTTGTCATATTATACCCATCAAATCTGTTAATTCTGTATTTGACCCTCGAATCTTCATGTATCTAAATTAGACCCCCAAATCTTCACATTTGCTAAAAATGAGGGCTGTGTGGCATATTATTTAAAACAACTAATGAATTTGGGGGTCTAATTTAGAAATATGAATATGACAAAAACCCTGGAAAGTTTAGGCATGAGAGCAAATTTTCTTACTTGAAGTGATTTCTTATCGAGCACCTTCTTCAATTCCATGAGTGCTTCCATGCCGCTGGTATCTATTGCAGTAACCGCTGATAGAATTTTACACCAACTATTAGTATAATATATATTTTTTAACGAATACTTCACATATGAATTTCACTGGTATTCACTTACCAGACATGTCTAAAACAACACATTTTAGGTTGTTTTCGTTTGTTTTCGCTGTCCTCTCTTCCTCTTCTCTGACCCACCTCAAAATCCTGCAGATTATACGAAAACTCTATATGAACAAGAAACTGCATAGTTTCAATTGTATCTATGTTCTATATGTTATGGGTGTCTAACCTCTCTTGCAGGTACATAGAATTAGTGAAGTAGATGGGAGATTCTACTCCGATAATGAGAAACGAAGGGATTCTAGAAGCTTCTCTATATTGCCCGATACTTCTATAGCTCTGTGTCCCTGGAACATTGCCCATGATTACAGTGTTTGGCCTTGTCACATGTATGAGGATTTTAAACAAAGATATCCCAACCTGCGAACACCATTTGCATTCTTAGCTGGATTCACATACACTGGTAAATTATTTCACGAAACCCGCTGAAGTTTAAGGGTTAGCTCTATAAATCATAAAAAGCCTTCTGAATTACTTAGTGATGATACATGACAACTTTTGGACAGATTTACTCCTTTATGTTAAATGCAACTTCAATACCTTCCTTTCTAGTAGGTTGAAAAACAAATAAAACCCTGTTTATGAGAATTTCCAATTGTCCGGGGGTTTTTGTATAATTTTGAAAGTTAAGCAAGGCTTTCTATGAATTTACAAAATTCAGGGGTTTTGTGCAAAACTGTCCAAAGTTCAGGAGTTTTTCATGAAATTAACATTAAGCTATTCCTGAATTCACTTCTAACGCGTGAATGTCCAGATTACTGGATATTTGCACTTACTGCAATTGCTAGACCCATTTGCACAGAGATGAAGAGAACACCGAAGAAAGCACTGATACAAGCCAAGAAATCGAGCTTGTCCACCTTCCACAACCGAAGTGCAGCATGGAAATCAATCAAACCGATAACTGCTGTGATGATGATCGCAGATAAAATCACATTCGGTGTATAATGGAATAGTGGCATCAGAAACAGCATAGTAAACAGCACAGCTGAGGCCATTATTATGTTTGAGACTGCTGTTCTGCATCCTGCATTGTAGTTCACCGCTGACCTCGAAAATGATCCTGTAATTATTTTTCAAAGGAGGGGAAAAAGAATTAGGATTATGTGATTATTGAAAATAAACATTATGGATGGAACTTGTTAGTTTGATTATGAACCTGTGGTGACATAACACGATGTGCATGAGCCTGCCATGTTCATTAGGCCAATGGCCATCATTTCTTTGTTACCATCAACTTGGTAGTTTTTCAAAGAAGCAAAGGTTCTTCCAACAGCTATTCCTTCCTGTAAGTTTGTGTACTTGTTATTAACCGTTCATATCATTTTATTTTTTTTATTTTTTATTTGTGGCTCTGAATTATAATAAAGGTTAATTGCACATAGATCTTTGTAGTATTGCTGTTTTGATTTTGTACCGATAGTTTCATTTTGGCAACTAGACGCCCTGGATTAAACTGTTCGACTCTTGTGTGAAATTTTGGTAGATATTGCCCTGGGGTGAAATTTGTGAGTCTATCTGACGGTAAAAGAGTCTGAAGAAATTTTACCTTGAGGCTTTATCTGCCAAAGTGAAACTCCAAAGATAGTATGTTCAAAACAACGGTACTAAAGGGGGTCTATTTGCAAGTAACCTAACAACAATAGTAATAATAATACTTACAGTGAGAGATAGTATGCCAGTGACAATTCCAGTTTTAACAGCAAGAGGTAAGTAGGAGGCTTGGAAATATAGCATGTTGAGTGAAGGAGGGTTCACTCCCTTCTCCAAATGCCCAATCTATAGATAACCAAAAGAACCATAGAAATGAATAAATTTCACAAAGGATTTTGAGCTTTATTTACATGAAAATATGTATATGAATTGTTTGAAGCAAGTACTTACAATCTGGATGCCATGATTATGAGCTTTGAAAGCAAACGAGACTACTGTGGAGAGTATCACTGAGGCTAGGGGTGCTGCTGCTGATACCCAAAAAAGCTTGGGTCTCCTCATGCTCTGCGTGCAAAAGATTTTAGTTAATAATATTTCATACTCAAAGAAATGAAAAGGAAATGGAGATAAAAAGGCATATTGTGCGTGCCTCAATGTACTTGAGTTTATTTATCGTGAAAATGCATAATGTGTTTCACGTCCATTGCATTATAGTGGCTTTCCCTCAAAAACAGGGAACCAAACAGCCCCTAAGTCTTTGATTTGACAATTCATGTGGGATAATTGATGATGTGACATCTTATTAAAACATAATTTTATCTATTAATTACTTCTAAATTAACTTATTCAATTGGTTTAGTATATTATTATAATATAAATATTATTTTACTTTATATTAAATATAATATATTATACTATAATTACAAATTACTATATTAATTATTATTGTATTATATTATATTATATTAGCATGCTATACTATATATAATAATTAATGTAATGTAATATCAATATATTTAATATAATATTTTAATAATATAATATTTAATATAATATATTATTTTATTTATACAAAAATATAATATGTTATACAATAATTACTAATTAACATTATATTAGTATGCTACATTATATAATAATTGATATAATATATGAATAATATATATAATATAATACTTTAATAATATATTATTTAATTTAATATATTATAATATAGTATCATAGGATATAATGTACTTTATAAAATATTATAATACTTTATTTTATTCAATATAATATTTTTTAGGTAAATTTTTACTATTGGGACAAAATTTTTGTATATAAGTGGGGTAATTTTATCCCAAGTGGTGTAATTGTCTCACTAGTGTTCCAAAAAATCAATAACACAAAAAGATATTATCCTTGTTCTATTGTCCCAATAAATAACACTTTGAAATAAAATCCCTAAAATTATCTCATTATCCCCCAAAATGTCCTAACCAATAACCCCTAAGCATATTCATATTCTCTTCAAACACGTATTGGGCATCACAGTCCTTGGGTCCACAGCCCATTTAGCTCCCTTTTAGGTCCCTTTCAAAATTTCATCCCATTTAACAAATTCTATAACCAAGTGTCAAGATAATCATCACTTTTTTCAAAAGCCACATCAAATCCTGTACCCACTTTCTTTTTCCCAAATTACTGAAGGAATAAGAAGTCTTACAATATGCCTTGTCATCAGCAAGAAGGCTAGAAATGAGAAGCCCATCACCAAAGTTTGCCAAGCCCACTACAGAAAGGTAAACAGGAAAATTAATCACGAATTTAAAATTTTATAAAATGATTTGGCTCTCTCTCTCTCTCTATGTGCGCATTAGCCTACCTCAGTTCTGTGCTTGAAAACTGCACTCATCACAGGAACAAATCCCATTTGATTAGTGAAATGAACGATACCGAGCAATCCCTTGAGCTGCTGCAACGAAACAATGACAGCTGCACCCCCCATGAACCCAATTAGTGTGGGCTTTGACAAAAAGTCCACAACAAATCCCAGCCTGTTAACAGAAGAATCATTGATGAAAAAGTGTGTTGAAAAAGGTTAATTTATTCTCCGCCTAAATTGCCTTTTGAAGAAAAATTTCGCCAACCTAAATATTCTCATAACACCAAGAAAGCAGATTCTAAGTAGGGTAAATTGACCAGGGGGAAAAAAATTTCTCCGACCTAAATATTCTCATAACACAAGAGTATCACGGTGATGTTTTGTATAAAAACCACTATAAGCCATTTTATTAGATAAAACTACCAAAAAGTTTAAACATGCACACAATATCATATGCAAATTAGAAAATCACTTTTATGGCATTGTTAAAAAAATCTAAATGACCCCCAATAATCAGGAAGTTATATAAAGTAAATAAGAGCAAAAATGTCCAGAATATGTCACGTGCATATTGCACATGGTAGCTCTATAAAAATAGTTTTATGTAAGTTTGTACGCGACCCACAATAACTAGTTACAATTTTGTAAGTTTACTCTAAAAATGATGTATTGTTATGTGAATACTATATTCATGTTTTTTGTCTATGTTTTTACCTTAGGAAGCCCAGTGAAGCTTGGAAAACACCAGCAAATAATGTGGCCGTAAAAGCTAGCTGAAGGTAAAGTATCGGCTCTTTTTCAGGGGAAATGGCTTCTCGCAACATCGAGCCCATTACAAGAGATGCAATTGAGACTGGCCCCACCGCAAGGTCCCTTGAGCTTCCAAGCACAGAGTAGATCAATGGTGGCACAAAGCTTGAATCTGCTCAATCAAATTCCATACAAACAAGAGAATATCAGTATGCTGATAAAGTAAGTATTTATGAAAAGCAAAGATCATATCGCATGAAGGTCTTACATGACAAACCGCTCATATCAAAGGTCATGATTTGTATTTTGAAATGATTGAACTTGAAAATGAGACCTGCTTAGGACCTATTGACTAGAGTAAGTATTCGGTGGTTCTGACCGATCCACTGTATCAATGGTGTCGTGAGGTAGTCTGATCTATTCATGGATTACGACTTAAGTCTCGAAGTTTACCTATTCAATATCTTTTTGATGCATCATTAGTGCAACGGATTAGGTCCACTCAATAGTTTCTCATTGATCAACAAGTTATTCGAACCGCATGAAAATTTTACGCACATACATTTAAAATATCGTATATCAAAATAATGTGGATCCTCAGTATAGTATAGATGGTTTTAATTGCGAAAAAGAAATTTCCTAGACAGTCAGCTGGCAATTATAAAAACATTATGCTTACATAAACCAATAACAGGAGGCAGATTTGCAAGCTTTGCATAACTAATCCCCTGTGGAATAGCCAAGCTAGCAATAGTGAGGCCAGAGACAGCATCAGACTTGAGTAGCTTCAAAGTATACTCAGACCCCCACTGAAATATTGGAAAAAAGTATTGAAGAGCCAACACAAGTTTCCTAAAGGGAGTTTGGCCCTTGAACTGATGAAGAGGATCATCAGAGAAAAATATTTCACCAAGCCTTTGCTTAAGAGATTGGAGAGTAGTCTTCTCTTGTGGCAAAGAGACTTTGTGGATTTCTAAAGGAGCTGGTGCGTTAGAAAGAGAGGATTCGAGGTCTAATGCATAAGGGAAGCTCTCTACTCTATTAGAGCCAACACCCATTGAAATATTGAGAGAGAGAGAGAGAGAGAGAGAGAGAGAGAGAGACTTAGGAGGAGGATTTTGAGGAAAGGGAGGGGGGAGAGGTGAGGTATTTATAGAGAGAGGGTAGGGGCTTGTTTGTAAGTGTGTTTTTAGTCTTCGGTGCCTTTTTGGTGGTGGAGTATTAAGAGGTTAATATCAAGTTAAATGGTTAATACTTTTTATTAGGGTAAAGGTTTGAAGTGTTGATTGTTTGAATAGAATCTAGAAAGGTAACGGAGGAGGAAAGTTCGGCCCCATCCTCGAATGTTTGGGAATAAGGTGGGACTCAATTCATCCTTTGTCTATTTTGAGTGAAACGGTGAGTAACTACTACTCATGTTACATTAATAAGAATTTAAAGAAATGACAAAAAAATTTATATAAGAAAGAATTACCACACATAGAAGTAGCAACAACTACAAAAAATTTATATAAGAGAATTACCACACATAGAAGTAGCAACAACTTCAATGGGACCATACAGATGAAATAAAGGCAAGAGCACAAAGTGAAAAAATATAATCCGAAGGGAGTTTTTTTTTCTTAAAAAGACATTTTTTGCTAAATAATTAGAAAAACCAACCGTTGTACCGATTATTTAGCAAAACCAACCTCTTTTTGACCAACAGGTTAAAAAGAGGTTGGTTTTGAAAAATTGCCTCTTCCAAACATACGAGAGTACTAGTCCCGAATGTTTAGTGACCAATAATTGGCCACTAAACCGAAGCCAGAAAACCCACGGGACTAGTAGTCCCGTGGGTTTGTCGAGTGGTGCACAAAATGTACGAGACTAGTAGCCCTATACGTTAAGTAGAAACATTATTTCTATGTGCCTAGCAAACCCACGGGACTATTAGTCCTGTGGGTTTGTTGGATGATGCACAAAACGTACGGGACTAGTAGTCCCGTACGTTAAGCAAAAAAAAAAAAAAAATTTCTACGTGCCCAGCAAATCCATGGGACTAGTCCTGTAGATTTGCTGGGCAGACTCAAAACCTCTAGTCTCATGGATTTGCTGGGCAGATTCAAAACCTGCACAAAACATGCGCATGCCTCTTTTGCTGATTAAACATTGTTTTTTGACCAAAATTTGTACAAAAATATAGCATCCACTTCGTATACATTGATATACAGTATAATATTTATAAAAGTTATAAACTTTAAGAAATAAACACTGGATAAGAACACATTTACTCAATTCACAACGTCACAACACAATAGATACGTCATATACATATCAATACGACAAAATACTCTAAACAAATCTAAATGTATCAAGTTTATCAATACAACAAAATACTCTAAACAATATATCAAGTCTATCCAATGTATCAAGTCATATACATATCAATACGACAAAATACACTAAACAATATGTAGTCGAAGTAGAAAAGCTAACAATCTAAAAGTCCGCCCCTCCCCCATTGTCTCCCTTTTCGTACCTGCTCAGATCATCGGTGGTCTCCTCGACTTGAGCTTGTATGTGCTCGCTCTCTGGTTGTGTGTGGGGCTGTGATGAACCAGCCTGTTGTGACATATCAGCTTCATTTTCGTGTGTGCAAGATCTATCACGTCTTCATCGGCATGCATACACCCTCTCCTCATGCACCATCTACTCGCAACCTTCATGCTAATCCTCATGAGTTTGATGAAGAGCTCTATGAACCCTCGCCACTATCTGATACAATACTGATACATGTACTAAATCTCCTGTGACGGTAGATATATATATAAAAAAAAGCTAACAAGAGATTGAAAAAAGTATTCTAATTTGCGCAATTTACTTACCCATTCTCTCTCATCTACACCTCTTTGTATATATCTTGCTTGTTGAGACTGTATCTCGATTTCGTCGACTAGAGACGTGATTTGAATGATTATTCACCATCTGATAATCTCCTAATACCATATAATATAATCGACTTCCTCCATCAGAGGATAAAGCTGCTCGACAATGCTCCCATGCCGATCATTCTATTTAGCAATGTACGGATGATGCACAATCCGCTAGTCAATCTGATGCCCACCCTTAAACGCCTTTCTCTCTATTTTTTCGACAAATTGTGGAGCGTGCTGTACAAAACCAAACTGTCTAAGCACACGATCCGACACGTGCGTCTCCATAATTTCAAAACAAATGAGAGGAACTCTGGCTCTCTATATACTGTGTCCCTCCATGCAAATCAGTGGTCGACGAGGTATGTAAAGTGCATATGGCTACCACTCAAACTACAAAATATTCCATATATTAATAACTCTTTGAAATATATCGGTAGCTTTAAATAACTTAAATTCAAATTTGATACCCGATAAATTTTCATCCGGTCGAGCTCTCCTCTGTAAAAATCTGACTGTCTTGCCGAGGCCTCAACGTATGCTTTAGTGACGTTCCATCTGCATGTATGATATAAGGTAGGTTCTAGTTCTAAAATTAAAATTAAAATTTAAAATTTAATTAATTAGATTTTGAATTTATTACTTGCAGCCTAGTAGAATATGTTCATCTACTTTTCGCGTCTCACATAATCTTGGTCTCAAAACCAATCTCTCCCATGCCCAAACTTGTAACAATGTAAAAAATCCATTGAGCTCTTTATTTTGCATAAAAGCAACCTTCGATATTTCTCTATATAGGTATGCTAAAACAGCACTACCCCATGATAATTTCCCACACCTATCAAAGTCCTGGAGAAGCGATAACCACCTATCACATGACAAATGCATTTAGTCATATTTTATAATAATAAGAAGCAAAAATCTAGCAAAAACATGATCATGATGGTTCATTATAACAATAACAAGTTGTCTTACCTCAAATGTACTTTATGTTTACTTGAATCGGGAAAAAGAAGTGTCCTGATCATGTGCAAAATATATACACGAGTATGCTACTGGATCATGACTTGGGATGCATCTTCTGGCAAGGGGTTTGCGAAATTTTCTTTTAGCCACTTCAATCTAATATATCCCCCAGGCAAGAACTCCAGAGATAGTCCTAACAAATCATCACAGACTCAGTGTCAAACATGCCTAACAGTCTTCGTAACACAAGGATCATAAATGTGGAGACCAAGGATAACTGCTACATCCTAGAGAGTAATAGTCGCCTCGCCGACACATAGATGGGAAGTGTTAGTCGCTGGCCTCCATCTATCCATCAATGCATTAAGTAGTGCCCAATTGAGCTTCATCCACCATAATTTTGAGCATGTGAGAAAACCTGCTTGGGCTACTAGAGCAATGATACGCGGATCTTCAAGTGGCCAACGCATATGTCCAAGGCTATTATCAATCATAACTAGCTCCGGTCCCCTCCGCACAACAATGAAAAAAATATTAGAATATAACAAGGAGTAACTAATATGTGACTATAAACTTATGATTTTAAATTTATAAATCATTACTAATGTAAATGATATACTCTCTGAACAGTGGCGTAACTGATCATAGAGGACGTCATCACTAACTGGCCCACGAAGCATAGTGTATATACCTGCACATATAATTATTAACCTATTAGTTTCTGTCGAATCAATAAGACTATACTAATGAAAAATAGAGATAGAAATAGAAAATATATTACCAATTAATTGCTATCTACTTGTTCTTGATGGATAACGAGACCTATTATGACCTAATTGATTATATTATCCACATCTAATTAGCGACGCTACTCCTTCCCGGCCTTGATCCGTAGTACCTCTAATGCGCACAGAGCGAGGTCATCCTACTTGTCTTTGGTATTGAGGTGGTAATATACATGGTCCATTATAATCCGGCCAATAACGACTATCGCCAGGAGGATGAAAATTCTCCTTATAAACCTTTCGATAATGATTTGTTGAATACCAAGCTGAGCAATATCGATCATAAGGTAATCTAGCACCACCATTCTGATTGGAACTAGCTGCTAAAACATGTTCACATGGAAACTTTTATAATTGTTGTATATTACAAGTACAACTGCACTCTTGGTCATAGAGATGGATGGTGTAAGTACCTTCACAATCTTTAACCTCTCATTCATTGTCGTTGAATGGTTCAACTCTACATGTTCTTACAGCTACAATCCTTTTTTGCAAAATACTCACATTTTTTAGAGTATACCTACTCATCCAATTTGCACCATCACCACGTTTCTTATTAAAGTATGCGTTTAATCTATAAAATGTTCTTGCAACCAAGGCTTGAATTGGCATAGCACGGGCACCCTTGAGTATGCCATTAAAACTTTTAGAATAATTAGTTGTCATCATACAATAGCGCACTCCACCATCTCTACATAGTGCCCATCGATCTTCGTATTGCAGCGTTAAGTTTTGTTCAATCCAGTTGTGTGCTTCAACTGATATGGATTTAATTTTCTCCCTACAATGCTCATATACCAGTGTGTTAGCTGCACACTTAGCTTGCCACAAAAGATTTTGTAAATTGACCTCTCCATGTTTTTTCTTAAAATTATCTCTTATATGATGCAAGCAATACTGATGATGATGTGGTGCACTCTACCCTTCGTGCAAGGCTCGTGGAATTCCTTTCATCTGGTCAGAAATAAAAGTAATCATTCTAGGAATTTGAACAGTAGGGATGTATCTATAAATACATTGAAAAAACCTCGAAAAAACCTCGAAAAAACCTCTTCCAACTCGATGTATCCTCCACCTCCACAACTGTGAAAGCTATTGGAAATAGCATACTGTTTGATCTACACCGGTCGTAACCAAGACCACTCCTTTGTACTTATCATATATTTATGTCATCAGTGTTCAAGAGCAGACGACAAAAAGAGAACCCTTTGATAATAGGTCCAAATGCCCAAAATACTCGCATGAACCTTGTAGGTGTTAAAAATTATCTATAGGTTCCTGCACGTAGTTTGAAACAGAGAGAAGGTGATAAACACTATTATTCGTGTTAGAGAGAATTATCCAAGTCAAAGAGGATCATCCGATGCTATAAAAAGAAGCGAACGAATACACGTGAAATGTTGAAGTGTGTAAAATGACGAAGCAAATACAATCAGG